GGGTTTTCTCATATAACTGATGTAAAAAGTAGCGACATAAACTAAACAATTTTTTACATCAGTTTTTTTAGAGAACTGATGTAAAAAGTATATATTTTTTTTAAAAAAAAAAACACAACTTCTACGTGGGTTTTTTCATATAACTGATGTAGAAAGGAGCAACACAAAGGGACACATCTAAAGGCGTGGGAAGAAATGGTGTTACTGTATACTTTATCATACGTCACAGAGAAGAGACAATGGTTAATTAAGTCACAAAATGGAGTCAAAAGAGAATCAACATAATCTATCCTTTAGTTCAAGATATAAAGCTGAGAATCTCAAGTCTGCTATGAGCTGTGACTATGTGAAAGACTGAGTTTGTTGCAATTTTTGACACAAATTTCAGACCAAATTTTGATTTTTTTAAGTAAACAGTGCCGTATTTCAAGGATAGAAAGAGAACATAAACATATTCAATAAGGATTTTTGGTAAATCTATGTTTACCATATTTTAACATGTGTCCTTTTATTACAGAACATGAATAAGGATGAGCATTTGTTGACGCACCTCCAGAATATTAATTTTTCCTTTTTTTTTTAGTGTTTTTTCATATTTTTCCTAAGTCTAAGCTATGTTATTAATGCTGAAGAAGAAAAGGGATAAGATGAAAAAGGAGAAGACAAAGAAAAGGAACGGAATAAGGGGGCACCAAAATTACTAATATTTCCTTTCTAAATATAACTTATGTCACCAGTTTCTTATCTTTTATTTTTAACTATCCAATTTTGAACAACGGTTCATAATATTTGAAAACTTTTGAAAAAGACAATTTTATCTTACTTCTTACAAAAAAAAAGGATGATATTAGAATCACCCACTTCTATCACTATTATGAAAAAAATATAAATTGAAGATATTAGTATTAGGGAAGTCAAAAGACGAGTGATTCTAATATCCTCCTATCTTTTGTAAGAAGTAAAAATAATACTTTTTGATAAGTAAAGTGAAATTAATACTAAGTCATTGATATTTGTAGATAGAAAATGAATGGTTAAGATTGATTGATGAAAAGGTTAAGAATCAAGAGCATCAGGTGACTATTTTGGGTAATAATATATTAATGAAGGATAAATAGGTAAATTGTTACTTATTCTTCATATCTTTTCTCTCTATATCTGTGCAGCTCCTCCATTTTCATCTCTCTTCTTTTCTCTCAATCTTCTCCTTGATAGTAATATAGATTTTTTGAAAAAAAAAAACCCTTTAAAATCAAACAAAACATCACCCGTAACTACAGAAGAAGTGTTACTTTGTATCACACCCTGCCCCTCTTGGTTTTTTCAGAAAACTGATGTTGAAAGTATATTTTAAAAAAAAAACACAACTTCTACATGGGTTCTCTTAGATAACTTTTGTAGAAAGTAGCGACATAAACAAAATATTTTACATCAATTTTCTGAAAGAATTGATATAGAAGGTATATTAAAAAAAAAAACATAAATTTTACATGAATTCTCTCATATAACTTATGTAAAAAGTAACAACATAAACTAAACAATTTTCTACATCAATTTTTTTAGAGAACTTCTAGTGAAACGTAGAAAGAAAGGAGCAACGTAAACAAAACAGCTTTCTACATCAGTTATATGAGAAAATCCATGTAAAATTTATGTTTTTTTTAAAGAAAAAAATACTTTCTACACCAATTCTCTCAGAAAACTGAGGTAGAAAGTAATAAAAAAATTTGAATGTTATTATTTTTAACGTCCTAAACTTTAAAGGAGCACGTCTGAAGGTGTGGAAAGAGATTGTGTTATTGTATACTTTTTCATGCGTGCTTCTCTATTAGGAGTTTTTTTTTTCTTTAATTCCTTCTAACTATCCATTTAATAATCAAAGACAGGTGGTAGCATAGGAGATAGGGCTGATTGAGTACTTTGCAATCACCAAACTACTTTGGCGAACCTTCAAGCTTAAAGATGTAAAAAAAAGCATACAATCTTCGTAGTCTTTTTGTATTATAGAATTTGCTCTTGTTGAATCCGAAATAACCATTGCAAAGAGAAATCAACGTTTATACATTCCCAATGTGAGGGACGGTTGAATTCATATATGCACTGATAATATTGACGCCAACTATTTTTAATACAAGGTTTTCTAATTTTTCTATTTCAAAAGTTCTATCATTTCTGAATATCTGATAATGCTAATGAGATAAGAATAAAAGAGGAGGAAAAGGAAGAAGATGACGACTAATGAGAAACACGAACAAATTCTAAAATTTCAATATTTTCTAAATTGTTTAGTGTTTTTTTTTTAATATATTTTACTGGATAAAGAGTTCTGTCATTTGCGAATCCTTTATGAGATGAGAATGAAAGAAGGAAAAAAAGAAGAAAACAAATAAACAGAGAAAGTGACCGAGAAACACAAAGAAGAAGAGGAAGAGAACAAAAAGACAAAAAAGAAGAAGATGAACATGATATTACTAATGTATCATTTCATAAATCTAACTTGAATAACCAGTTCCATGTCATTCACTTTTAACAGTCCAATTTTAATCATCTGTTCATAATATTTGAAAACTTTTGAAAAAGAAATCTTTGTCTTACTTTTTGCAACAAAAGAGTGGATATTAGAATTACCTCAAAAGACCTATCAAACATTACCTTGAGAAAATTAATAAATGTTTTGCAGACTCAAGTGTATAGAGGAATGATGAGGCAAGAAGAGGTAGTGTAAGATGGTTTTCATATGACAACACAAAATTTAAGAGGTGACGAAGGCAATAAGAATAACAAATGACAGGATTAAAAAATAGAAGCCAACAAATAGTAAGGTGAGATTTTTCCTCTTTGCAAGCATTATAAAAGGACAATTCATCCTCGTAGAAGATGTTGCCAAAGACCAAATGTAAAGTGCAAAAAAAGTGACAAAATGAAACAGGAAAGCAAATTTGCAAGTCTACGTGAGAAGAATAAGATGACTTTATGTTGCAACATAGCTATGTTGCAACATGCTATGTTACAAGCAATAGCTTTAGTGGCTCATAAAATCATAGTTAAGAGACAACAACTACCCAAATAATGTAACCAACAATCAAAAACTTTTTAAAGAGTTTGATAAAATTATCATTTTCAAAGTAAAATTAAAAACAATAAATTTATCTTGATCACAGAAAAAATGACTATTGTTATTGAAAGCTTAATATTGACTAAAATTTACTCATGATTGTACAACTTGTAGAAAAAGGTTTCAAAGTCATATTTGAAAACTAAATGCTTCTTACCAAAGTTTCAAAGATATCCTATTTATACATGATGAATAACAACAAGAGTCTCACGTTAACACCTTACCTCAATCTAATAATAATTAAAAAAAAAGTGAATTATGTTACGAATGTGTGCCTAATACAACTATTGTCACAAAAACATATGCGTAAAGTGATACCTATAAAATTAAGTAAATTAATAGACCACACAAGAGGAAAAAAATATAGATAAAATGAAAGAGGTTGAAATTAAGAAAATTTTTAATTTGTTTGATATAAAAGGAAAATAAAAAAAGTGAACGAGAAGTGAGAAAAAAAAGGAAATTTCTCTCTATGATTGTTTGGTTAGATAAAAACTAAAAGAAAAAATTTCTTAAATAAATAAGCATACCATTAAAAAAGCATAAAATTTATAATATTATGTTATATTATTTCTTTTTTTAATATATATAATCAAATAATAATTTTTTATTAATATTATAAATGAATTTGAACGAGGATTATAAAATACAATAGCAAAACATTATCTCCCAAATTGTTAATTGTTACAGATTTAATGCATATAAAATTGTTAACAAAGCATGAAAAGACTAGACAATAAAAGTAAAAGTATTAAAGTTTAATACTGTGGACACCACCACCACACCGAAGCTGTCGAAGGCTTTAAGAGTGAGGAGGATAAAGAAGGAATAACACAAAATAGTTAACAGGACAGAGAATAAGTAAGGAACAATATAAAAGTAGTTTAGCTTTCCTTGTTAGTAAAAGATTGTTGCACAAAACAGTGACGTGACGTTAATTCATTTTAATTAGTAATACTCCAGTTAAGAAAATGAAAAACAGTAAATATTTGACAAAAATCACATGCAATTTCGTAAAATTTGCTTTGTACTATTCAGAATTTTCCAAAATAGTTCTCTCTTCTTTATCATTATTATTTTTAAAAACTTTGTCAAGACTCTAATTTGTGTGATTCCTATGCAAGTTATTTCTTTTCTTTATTTTGTTTGTACAACTAAATTATGAATGAGTTATACATTTCCCTCTCCCAAATAATATGTAATGTATTGTTATTGATGAAATACTTGATAATGCATGGAAGGAAAGAGAAGATTCGAAAAATATGGAGAAGAAAACAACCTACATTGTACTCAGTGTACATCAATGGATTATATGATGATATTGACCAAAGAAAAGTAGGAGAAATTTCAGCTGCAAGACGTTTCAAATTTTATTTTGTTCGATTCAATAGTTTGGAAGAGGTTTACAGAACTGTTCGGATGTTGAATGGCATTTCACTCCTGGAAAAACATCTATACGTGACAAATGCAAAGTTTCCTAATTCCTAGGCTGTTCTCATGTTTTATTCTTGATCATATTATTTTGTTTACGAAGAAAAATATGGAAGAGTTTATAAATCTTGCTTATTTCTATTTTTTATTTACTTCTCTTTTTAATATGCATAACACAGTATTTTATATTTTAATGAAACATTAATAAATACCTTTTATATGTTTAAAAATAATGTCTTTTACAAATATGTGCAATGCATGGAATAATTTTGAAATAAATATTTAAAAATTATGTTAACGGGATAGTTGGAGTATATGGAGTGACTAAAGTAAGAAACTGATGATTAATTCTTTTTGGGTACAACGATTTTTAGTATTAAATTATTGAAGCATTACTTTACTTTTGAAAGTGAAATTTTAGACAAAAATCAGTAGACAAATATTTTACATTTATCATTGTTAACTTCATTGATTGAAGTAATTAGAGAGAAACCAACATCTTACAATCCAAGAAATTTCAACGGTTCATTACAAAATAAATCTGGTCTTTTTTCATTTTTTCAACCAGTCGCTGTTTCCATGAAATTTCCATATCCAATCGTGTCGACAGGATATTGATTGCGAACTGTCAGAAAGTCAATTCAGCGAGAGACTCGTAACTTCAACAAAACTTCCAATAATGCATTGGCAGTCTTGTTGATTTCCCAAGTCCATGCAACGCTTCTCCTTTCCTTACTAATAAAATTGTTACTTGTAACTACTACTAGCACTGCATTTGTAACGTGAAACCTCTGTTGCTTGATACTGCTAGAAGTTGGAAGATGGCTGAGGCCGTCCTCGAAATTGTGCTTGAGAATATGAGCTCTCTCGTTCAGAAAAAACTGGGACCCTTTCTGGGTTTCCATCAAGACTTGGAAAGGCTTGCCAGCTTGCTCTCTGCAATCAAGGCTACACTTGAAGATGCTGAGGAGAAACAATACTCAAACAGAGCTATCAAAGATTGGCTGCAAAAGCTAAAAGATGCAGCTTATGTGCTTGATGACATCTTGGACGAGTGTGCCACTGAAGCATTGCAGTTGGAGAATCATAGAATCACGTGTGGACTATTAGACAAGGTACAAGCCTCTTCCTTATCCTCCTTCCATCCCAAGCATGTTGTTTCCCGTTACAAGATTGCTAAGAAAATGAAAAGAATAAGCGAGAGATTAGATGAAATTGCCGAAGAAAGGACTAAGTTTCATTTGACTGAGATGGTTCGAGAGAGAAAAACTGAAGTCATTGATTGGCGTCAAACAACCTCAATTATTTCTCAACCTCAAGTCTTTGGAAGAGAAGAAGATAAGGATAAAATTGTAGACTTTTTGGTTCTCCATGCTTCTCATATTGAGGATTTATCTGTCTACCCAATTGTGGGTCTTGGTGGACTAGGAAAAAGGACACTTGCTCAACTCATTTTCAATCATGAGAGGGTGGTCAACCACTTTGAGCTTAGAATTTGGGTATGTGTTTCTGAAGATTTTAGCTTGAAGAGAATGACAAAAGCTATCATAGAAGCAGCATCTGGGCATGCCTGTGAGGATTTGGATCTAGAGCCGTTGCAGAAAAGACTTCAAGATCTGCTTCAATGGAAAAGGTATTTGCTTGTTTTGGACGATGTGTGGGATGATGATCAAGAGAACTGGCATAGGATGAAATCTGTATTGAATTGTGGAGCAAAGGGTACTTCAATTTTGGTCACTACCCGTCTTTCAACGGTTGCATCAATTATGGGAACAACGTCTCCTGATGAACTATCAAAACTATCTGACAATGACTGTTGGGAGCTGTTTAAACAACGAGCTTTTGAACCAAATGCAGCAGAAAGGGCAGAGCTTGTTGTGATAGGGAAGGAGATAGTAAGTAAGTGTGGGGGAGTGCCTCTCGCAGCAATTGCATTAGGAAGTCTTTTGCGTTTTAAAAGAGAGGAAAAGGAATGGCTCTATGTTAAGGAAAGCAAGCTTTGGAATTTACAAGAGGAGAATTTGGTCATGCCTGCCTTGCGATTAAGTTACTTGAACTTGCCAATAAAATTGAGACAATGTTTTGCCTTCTGTGCAGTATTTCCCAAAGATGAAATAATAAGCAAGCAACATCTGATCGAACTTTGGACGGCTAATGGATTCATTTCCTCTAATGAAATATTGGATGCGGAAGATATTGGTGATGAAGTGTGGAATGAATTATATTGGAGATCTTTCTTCCAAGATATTCAGAAAGATGAATTTGGCAAAGTTACCGATTTTAAGATGCATGATCTTGTTCATGATCTTGCTCAATCTATTACTGAAGAGATTTGGTGCATCACAAAAGACAATGGTGTAACTACTATGCCAGAAAGAATCCGACATATCTCAATTTATTGGAGGGAGGAAGCCAATTCAATCATGTTGCATCAACTCAAATCTTTGAAAACCTGCACAACAGTGCTTTACGATTATGATGGACAGATTCTAGTTGACGTATTAAAATGTTATTCTTTGCGGGTGCTTGAGTGGAAGAGACTAAAGCATTTGTCATCTTCAATTGGCCATTTAAAATATCTAAGATACTTGGATATTTCCTATGGTGAGTTTAGAGCTCTTCCAGAATCCCTATGTGAATTGTTGAATCTGGAAATTTTGAAATTAGACGTTTGTTGTTGTCTCCAAAGGTTGCCTACTAATTTGATACGCTTAAAAGCTCTACAACATTTATCTTTGAGGTATTGCCACAAACTATCAAGCTTGCCACCTCAGATAGGAATGATGACATCCTTAAGGACTTTAAGCACATACATCATTGGCAACAAAAGAGGGTTCCTTTTGACAGAACTGGGTCGACTAAACCTTAAAGGAGAGCTTCACATCAAGCACTTGGAGAGGGTAAAAAGTATAGTGACTGCTCAAGAAGCCAATATGTCAACCAAGCGCCTAAATAAATTGTGGTTGTCATGGGGGGGAAATGAAGAGTCTGAATTATCGGAAAATGTTGAGCAGATTCTTGAAATGCTTCAACCTCGTACACAACAACTTCAGAGTTTGCGTGTGGAAGGATATAAAGGTTCCCGTTTTCCACAATGGATGTCTAGTCCTTCTCTTAAATGTTTAAAATGTCTAGTGTTGGTAGATTGCAATAACTGTTTACAACTTCCGCAGCTGGGGAAACTACCTTCTCTAAGGAGGTTAGCTATATCTAACATGATTAATATTAAATACATATACGAAGAGTCCTATGAAGGTGGAGTAGTTTTCATGGCTCTAGAATTTCTGTTTCTGAAGAACCTGCCAAACCTAATAAGGTTATCAAGGGAGGATGGGCACAACATGTTCCAACAACTTTCCAATCTTCAAATTATTAAATGTCCTAAATTGTTGGGTTTGCCAAGCCTTTCATCTATCAATGCTCTTGCCATAAACGGTAAATGCAGCCAAGATTTGCTAAGTTCAATTCATAATCTCAATAGTCTTCAATCCCTACGGTTGGATGGTAATGAGGAGTTAACGTGCTTTCCAGATGGGATGCTACAAAACCTTACTTCTCTAAAGATACTAAATTTCGATGGGCTCACCAACCTGGAACTACTTCCAACCGAAATCATTAACCTTAATGCTATCCAACAACTGAATATCAAAGGTAGCAGTAGGCTAAAGTCATTGGGTGATGAAGTATTGATGGAAGGGTTAACCCTAAAGAAATTAGAAATCGTTCAGTGCCATAAGTTCAATATGTCGGCGGGTTTTGAACACCTAACCTGTCTTGAGGAATTGAGGATTGCGAGCTGCTTAGAAATGGAATGTTTGAATGATGCATTACAACATATGACTGCCTTGCAATCATTAGAACTGTGTGATCTTCCAAACTTACAATCCTTGCCAGACTGCTTTGGAAACCTTGGCTTGCTTCGTGAATTGATTATTTACAACTGTCCCAAGTTGAGGTGTCTTCCAATGAGCATTCAATGCCTTGGCAGTACAATACTGCAAGTTTCTCTTTGCCCTGAGTTAGGGAGATACTAGAAGAAGGTAGCCATAAATAGCTCATATTCACCGAATTCACACATACAGAACATACGAATGCAGTCCAATTCAAGAAGCGGTGGATATTATTCTTGCAATTGAGGTTTGTTTTCCATTTAGGGATTTTAATACTCCCTTTCTTTCACGTTAATATAAAATTCACTTAAATATTTTTCATTTATCTAAAATCATTTATTTGAAAATATATGTCATTTTTTAATTTCAAACAAGTATTAAATATTTCTTTAATAATATCCTTATTTATTAGAGATAATTTTTTAAACTAACTACTATTGTAACTAAGTGTATTATGACTCTCTTTAAGTGTAATTATTATCTAGTAGTAACTACTACAATAACTCCTACTTTTTTTTAGTACTGGGATATTGATAAAAGCAATTTATTTTACTATAAGAATTGATAAATTTCATTATTTTTCTAAGATAGAAGTATTAGTATTAAGTAAGATCTAAACTTAATGTAGAATTGTTTCGCGAAATCATATCAACGTACATATCTAGCATGGTTTGAGCAAGGAGAGATTCTATACAGTTTCAAATTTTGAAGGAATAAAATCTGTTGTTTCCATGAAACTTCAGAATTGTAAGCAACAAAAACATGTTGAAGAATTTATTGTTTTTATTTTTTTCTCTATTCCATTCCATTCTAGTTATCTTAGCTTCTCGCTGGCATTACATTAATGGTGTTTGAAGAACCTAACGCAATAACAAGGGAGAGGGATATGAGAAATACATTCTGTGTAGATTTCATGTTTTTGTCTTGTTACGTTAAACTGCACAATATGTTTTGTTCTGAAATTGAAAATTATATCTTTCCTTGTTTTCAGAAATCTGATGACTTAAAGATCCAAAATTTGATCCTTCCAGCAGGCGGTTTGAAGATTTCAGTCTCTTTACCTTGAGTAAAGTTCGCCATGAAGTCTAGTATTAAGCTTTGGCATATATATTTAGCTGTAAAATCGTAAGATATTTGTATGAGCACTCAAACACCCAATAAAGAAAAAAGAAAGGACGAAGCATGCTCAATGTTCATCATTTGGGGAATCTATGTTCACACATTTTTATCTCCTTTCTCTTTTATTAATATTATTAAATATTCATTTCACTTCTGCAATCATTCACTAATTAAATTTGTATATATATTTATATAATAAAATAACCTGATACACCATCATAAGAAAAATCCCGAGGATACCATTTGAACTTCTATACTTTAGAAATGGAAAAGTCTCAGTACATAGAGAAGCAAGAATACTTGCTATGGTATACATTATACTTCATTTCTGGTCCTAGCTATAAGTCCAAAAGCTTATGTCTTTTGAGTACAGCTGGGAAAACTACCTTGTCTGAATAGTTTAATTATACGTGACATGATTCAAATAATATACCTGTACGAAGAGTCCTATGATGGTGGAATAGTTTTCGTGGCTCTAAAATTTTTGTAACTGGAGAACCTGCCAAACCTAACAAGGTTATAAAGGGTGGATGGGGAAAACATGTTTCCACGCCTTTCCACAATTCAAATTATGTTAGATTTGCCCAGCCTTCCATCTATCAATAATCTCCGCATAAAAGGTATTAAGTGACATTTAAAATTAGAGTGACGAATATTTTGCAAATAATATCAACATGCATATCCAGCATAGTTTAAGGAGGAGGAGATCATAGACAGTTTTAAGCGCCTTACCTCTATATATGTTCACAAGTTTCCCAAATATCTCTGTTATGTTCATGTTTAGATCAGGTGGAGAATATGTCAAGGATGACTGCGATGTGCACTCCATGTTAAATGAGTTTCAACTTTCAGCAAGAAGGCATAAAACTCAGTATATGCTTAAACATAAATTATAATTCATAATAGTAAATGCTCCTTAACCATTTACATAATTATTCTCCAATCTATCAAAACACAGTTAAATGGCACATTAATATTATTCCTGTCAGAAGCTTATTCTTTTCAGAGGTGTTAGAGGAAAGTTCTGGTTCTGGACGGAAAACATTTTCACCAAATGTTATTCAATAGCTGGCATACAAATCTTAGTACTTACTGCCTCATTTTCAGCATCAAGGTGTTGAGGTTTTGAGTTTTCATAACTTAAAATGTCAACTTCACCATGACTGCTTGTCGTGCTTGTTGATGAAAATAGTGCATTTTCTCTTCTATCATCATTACATTCAAGATTTCCAATTTTCATATCCTCAGAAGATAATTTGACCTTTTTATTATGTAATTGCAGCGGATTACTAGACATGCTTTGATTAATTGATTCAGAGTCCAAAAACTTCTCAGGCATATGTTCACCTTAAGGATCCAACTTCAGTACATACATATCTTCGGACAGTTTCTCCCCTGATTTCAAACAGTCCTCCAGCCACTGATAAAGGACAATTCTATGCACAAAGCATCATTAATCCAAAAAAAGATAAAAGGCATGTAAAAGCACATTTTGAGCACAAAAACAGAAACCTACATTATGCACTTTGAAGGCGTTCGTTGATCAAACAAAATAATCAAGTACTAATTTCATTCTACATAAGTCAAAGCACAACATAACAATTTTAAAAGAAGCAGCTCAAAACATTATTAAGGCCTAATTTGGATAAGCTTTTGCAGAGGCACTTGTAAGAGAAGAAAATAAAGAGATAGAACAAGTGAAACCCTTCTCATAAGGTAAAATCAACTTATGTTCTTCTACTATTTTAGGAGCTTTCTCAGTTAACTTCCTTAAAACCTAAGATGCATAAGTTAATTTTAACTAATGAGAATGATTTTATTTATTTTATCTATATATTTTATTCTCTTGCAAGTGTTTGTACAAAAACTTATTGAAACTGGACTAAAACCCTTCAAATTCCATAAGTTGATATCTACTTCAAATATATATTTTATTAGCCCATTGAAAAGTCAACCACTCATAAATTATGAAAATAAAACAATAATAAAAAACCTAACCTCTTGAAAACGTGATAAACGATTCCCTGTCCAATTCCTGAAGAAGGGCATTTGGGTCCATAGCAAGAAAGTGAGTGACCCTTTGTTGCAGGCCCATTTGCACCAACCTCTTCTAAATCTGAAAGTATACAAATTTGGAAAAGATATAAAGTTTGGAATATCAAACGGATACTGATTGGAAATTAAAAAGTGGGTCTTGAAATTGGAAAACGCAGCAGTTATATTAGCGTCTGAGGTTGAAGGTTGTACCTGGAATTTACAACTTGAACCCCTTTAGGGATCAATAACAACCATTCCAGCGAACATTCCATGAGGATCAGACGCAGGTTTCTTCCTTGGTTTTGCCTTTGGCACCATATTGCCACCGTTTCTATCTTCGTCGGTGATGCTACACGAAGCCGTAGTGTGATATGAGTGGGGTATGCTTGGGTGCAATCGATATGTGTAACCTTTTGGTACAAGTTCCACATGTTGCCGTCACCTTTTGGTACAAGTTCCACATGTCGCTGTTACCTTTTGGTACAAGTTCTACGTGTCGCTCCAGATGTTGAACACATAAGCAAAACATTCATTGGAATGACCGAGACTCTGAGATGTTGTGTGAGACTGAGTATAGAATAATTATTACCAGCTTGATTTAATTATCATCGCTTTTTTAATTGTCATTTAATAAATTAATTTTTATTATTACATTAATTATTGTAATAATTTATTTGTGATTAGATTATAGAATAATTATTACCAGGTTCAATTTGATTTAATTTTTATCGGTTTTTTAGTTGTCATTTAATAATTTAATAATTTATAACTGTATTAACTATTGTAACAATTTTTGTGATTAGTTACGAAATAGAAAGACCGAAATAAAAAATGGGATTCTGTTTCGTTCACCACTCTGTCAGCCACAATTGGAGCTAAAAATTGGTTCTTTTTATTATTATTATTCATCTTTTTTCAGTGTAGTAGGAGATGAAGATTTCCGCACTACGATTTTATACCATTTTTTGTTGTTGTTGATGATGCAATTCATTTTCATGAAGTGGGTTGCTGCAGGTTTTATGAACTACCAAGTCTGATACATATTCATTTCATTATGTATGAACTGATACATTTTTTAAATAAAGGATTTGAAACAAACGTTAATGTATAAATTAGAAAGAAAGGTATTATTGACGACCAAGGTTAACACACACTAACAAAAAGATGTCACAATCAAACATTAACATAAACTTCATAAACGATTAAGAAATGAAGCCAAATGAGGCTTGAATATGTGCATGCATTAACTAACATAAGATGAGACACTCTAGGAGCTGCTCAACTTTCCATTCTGATCTGCATTCATCAAACGATTCACAAAGTCAGTGATAATATCATCAGAACTACCTCCTTCGTCAACTGCCTCCCTAGCCAACTTCTTCCATTTAGTGGCATTCCTTCTAATCTGATGGCTTCTTTCACCCTCCATCACATCCTTCAAACCCTTGACAAACTCCTGCTTCCTCACAACTCCTTTATCATCCTCCTTCGGCCTCACACCCACCTCCCAAACTTCCTCCAAAAACTTGGCATCAGGTAATTGGTCAGTCCATTGTGGCAAACACACCACAGGAACACCAAGGCTAAGGCTTTCAAGGGTCGAATTCCAACCACAATGTGTCACAAAGCAACCAATGGCTTCGTGAGCCAACAATTCTAGTTGGTTACACCACGTCACAATTAGACCCTTATCTTGTACCAAGTCTCTATACCCACAAGGCAATTTACTTTGCTCACATTCTCTTAGAACCCACAAGAAACTCACCTCACTTTCTTTCAACCCCCAAGCCAACTCTTCAATTTGTTCTGCAGTCAAGGATGCCATGCTTCCAAAGGAAATGTACACCACAGATTGAGGTGCCTTTGCTTCCAACCAATCGCTACACTCTTCACTTAGCGGCTTCCACAGACTTGCTCCATACCCTTTATCCCCTTTAATCCTCCCATCTAAGTAAGCAGAAGGAACCATTGGACCTATGAACTTTGCCGGAAAAAGCCCGGTAAAGCCCTTCTTCACCTTTCAAACACGAAAATTAATTGTCACCAACCATAAACAGGAAATGGAAGAATAGCAAACCAACAATAATAAATAAATCATTGAGCCCTGTTACCGATCCAAAAAGAAGAGTTTGACTCCTTACTCTTAAAAATCTTTAATAATTCTACTAGTACTTTATAAAATAAGCATTAAATAAAAAAATCACATGCATTTATCGTCTTAAAAAAGATAAAACACGTTTAATAGTCTCTTCATTTAATAATTAAAAAAATTGTAAGTATAAAAGAATTCAGAATTGCTAAAAAAGGCATGAGACACAATATATTATATAATAAAAAAGATTAATTAATAAATTTGTACCTCGCTTTCTATTGCTTCAAAGGTGTTTATAAACATCCAATCAGCTTTGTTCAAGTTGGAAAATTGGCTCAATTTCATGGTCATGTAAGCCGGGTAGCTTTCTGGGAACCTAACCATGCTAGGAAGATCTCGAGAATTGAATGGAGGAAGACCAGGAACAACAAGGGGCAAGTGTTCCGTTTTCACAGGGATCTCAATGAGGCCATGGTGTATACGACACATTATGCTGCACACTGCAGCTGAATTTGTGAAAAAAGTAGCTCCATAAATGCCATGTTGCTTTGCCACGTCAAGAACCCATGGGAAAAACGCGTCATAGACAATGCAAGTGACAGGGTAGTTAGTTTGTTCGTATTTTTCTATGAGCTGAGACAGTGTTCGTGAACCGTTGGTTTTGGAAGAAGCGAGGAAGAGTTGTATGTTGTTGTTGGTCTGGGCAAAGCCCGCATCGTCGAAGCCATCGGAGATTGCTTCGACGTTAATGCCTGGTGCGGTGATGGACTTAACTGTGTAATGGGTGGTCACAAGTGTGGCCTTGACACCTTTTGATGCTAACCTCTTTGCAAATTGGAGAAGAGGGTTTATGTGGCCTTGTGCTGGGTATGGCAGGACAAAGACATGAACGTTGTTGTGCCTTTGCTGAACCATCTTTCTGTTTTTTCTTCCTTTTCTTAATCTTATGTATGCGTTTGATTTTGATGAGTAGTATCTCCTCCGGAAGAGCTTATTTATAAAGAGCAACAGCGAAAGCAAAATTGATGTGATTTATCTTTAAAGTGTGTTTAATAACCCAAAATAAAAAATTAATAAACAATTTTTTATTAATAAGTCGGCCAATAATAGAATATTCTTGAACTCTTGATCTCTCCCATTCCCATATGAGGTGCCCGAGTATATCACGGAAGGGAAGTCAATCATTTTCAGCTCAGAGACTATTTTTCTATTTTGGATACGGTTTTGAATAAAACTTTGTAATTTGAAAAGATTGAACAACACTCTACAGAAGAAGATTAGTAAAGTAGCAATTATTAAGGTAAATATTATTAATAATAATACTATATATATATATATATATATATATATATCTGATTTATTAAAATAAATCCAAAACAAACGGTGACGTGGATTGATTTTTGCTTTTTACGTTTTGTCATTAAACGCTGATTGATTGGAGTTGATGGTAATCATCAACTGCCGCCTATTAGTGGTTCTTGTTTTTAAGTTTTTATTATTTTTCAACTTAAATTATGTATAATTTTAGTTTTAAAATTTTAAAATATTTTTATGTTAAAAATATTTAAAATTAACGCTTACTCATTATTACTTATTTTTTTAAGTAATGAAATAGATGATAAAATTTCAATTTATATTAATATGTTATTATTATTTTTAATATTTTATTATATAAAAATTAATATTTATAAAAAAATTCAAAATAAATATTTGCATTATTTTTAAAAAATAATAATTAATCTAAAAAATTTCTAAACATCTTCTTCGTTCCATTGTTATGTAATGAAATTGGATATGGAGTGTATAAAAAAATTTGTAAGTATAAATTTTATATAATAAAACATTAAAAATAATGATTATATAATAAAATAATTTGAAATTTTGTTATCTAATTTATTGTTGAACAAAAGATAATTAATCTTATACATTTTTTAAATATTATAAACTAAATTTTAACAATTTTTAAAGATTAATTTTAAAATGTTACTTTTATAAAAATTTAAAATATAATTAAACTTTGTAATTTTTTACTTTTAAAAATATAAATAATTGAAAATTTATACTTTGAGTTGAATTTATTTTTATATCATTAATACTATTTTTTAGTTAATCTTCAATATTAATATGCTTAATTTTTAATACCAATCTTTATTATATAAATTATTAAGATAAAATTCTAACGAAGATACTAATCATACTTATCCTTAACCCTAGGAATCCTTTAAAAAAAAGTCAAAAATAGTAAATTATTGATGTGACAATAGACATTAGTTGTTTAAAAGTTTTAGCGACAATTCATTATTATGAATTACCAACATCTACAGACTTAGTGAGAATATTATTAAAAGATATGAGTTTTTTATGTTATATTTTATAATTTAAAATTATGATTATCTAAAAGTGTTTTTATAAAATAAAACTATATAAATTTATTATTTTATGTCACTTACGTTTGCTAGCTTGTTTAAGAAAAAATTTTATTAAATAATTTTAATTTAATAATTAATATAAAAAATTACTTTTAATCTTTCAACTAAATTTTTAATGTTAAATACTTTTAATCCATTTTTATTTTTATCAAACTTCAAAAACAATCCTTGTAAATAATCCAAATAAAATATTATCCATGAAAAAGATAACTTTACTATTATGAACAAAATTGCCGACATAGGTTTAATGTAAGATTAGCTGTCATTTGATGTGAAGTTTGAGAGTTCGTACTATAAATTAACACTGACGGCTCTCACAAACTAAGCTTCCAATGGTAAAGTGTGTGTGTCTCACTGACATAATTTTGTCATCAATTTTATAATTAATTTTCTTTTATTAATTTATATAAATGTATATTTTTTTTTATAAATATCTATCTTTACATTTATAAAAATTATTTTGATTTTTAATTTAAAATTTAATTATAAAAAAATTATCTCTTAAATTTGTGCTTATTATTATTATATTTATTTTTAACATATAATTACATTTTTTTTACACAATACAAATATTAATTTGTATAAAATTATATCTTAAAATTATCATTTTAGAATTAAAATAAAAAATTAAAAAATATTGTTTAAAATAAATTTATTATATATATATAGCTTAATTCTAAAATTGTAAAAATAACCAATTAAAAGTTAAGGATAAAGGAAAAAATTGTAAGTAAAGTTATATAAAATTTTGTATGTCTAAGGGAGAGATTATATGTCTGAAAGAACAGCTGCCACTACCTATCAATTCACTACGTTAAACAATGGTACGTATAATTCGTACGCCAGCTTGTTTCAGATCTTAGTTTTTCTCGTGCTCAACTTAACGTGCAAAAGTCAAGTTTGACCATTGAAAAGCAAAAAGTTGTCGATTTTAACTTTGAATTTTATTTATTTATTTAGTAAAAACACTTATCTTTGACAATCACCCAAGAATTTCAATGTTTAACAATTATCTAAAATTTTATTTAATTAATTAACTAAGTTAATCGGCTAGTATTTTTTGATACACCCATGCAACCATATATTACAAATAATAACGAAAATGTAATAATAGAATATGAAAAAACGATTGTTTAGAGTGTGATGGGTAAAAATTGAAAATCGATTATGATATGATTAAAAAAAATCACTGTCGGCTGTAGTGCTTCAAAAATCATGTGATTCTATTTTAATAATAAATTGTAACTCTAAAAGAAACAAAACACTTGACTAAGTGAGATTCAATATTCTTAAAGATAAAATTTAGATACTTGAGGGATCTGACCAACGTTAATAATGGATTCAATATTAATTAGTGTGATACATAATTAAATTTTAAATTCATTTGTGTGATAAATAATTAATTTTATGAATGGACCCATTATTCTCTATTCCTTCATATGAATCACATTTTCATGTATAAAATATTGAATGTCAAAGTTTTGTTGGCCATAATTCAAATTCAATGACCCAGCTGTTCTATCATCCACTTCTACGCTTTTATTGCGGCTTTCTTTTCAGACAAAGCTTTGCCATGTGGCTCTTTTTTTATTACGTGGAAATTATATAAATATAAACTTTTTGATAAAATTATAAAAATTTCTTTTTCTTTTGAAATTATCATCGACACTTTTGGTTAAAAATCATAACTTTTCATCAAATTTAATATTTTTAAATATTTAATAATCATTTTAAAAATTGTTATTGATACTTTTTTTAATACTTTTTTTATAAAATCTGGCAATTTTGTATGCTTTGTAACTTTCTTAATATTTATTTTTAAATTTCTGTACCTACACACAATTTTTAAATCTTATATTTTCATAATTTTTTTAAGTATTATATTTTAATATATATAATTTCTGAATATCGTATGTATAAAAATAATAATCCTTATACACATATATCACACGAATCCTCTGTAACAAAATAACTTTTATTATATAATGTTTTACATTTTAATTTATTAGTCATGGCAATATCTTAATTATTTGTTGAACATTTATAATAAATAATAAAATAATGGTATGCCATTAATATTAATATTGAAATAACAATAAAAGTAATAATAAATATACTTTTATATAAATTAATATTATTTGAATCATTTTATTAATTATTAGATAAATTTTTGGAATAAAAAGTTTAAGAATTTAAGTATAAAAAGTTTTGATACGAAGGATAGTCAGACCACAATTTTTATGCAGAATAATTTGTTAGGAATTCCATAAGTTTACTCATTTTTTAAAAATGTATTTTAAACAAAATGTTTTAAATATAAGATAACGTTTGCATAAATATTTTCTACCATACTTAATATATTTTTTAGTGTGATAAATAATTAGTTTTATGAACCGACCATTATTTTCTATTCAATCATATGAATGACACGTTTGTGTCATGTTTTTGTGGTCACAATTCAAATACAATGACCCACTCTTCCATCACCAGCTTCTATGCTTTTATTGCGCCATGTACCACCCAGATATTTATGGCATGCCATTAATATTGAATAAAATTAAAAGTGATAATAAATATATTACTAATTACTATATAAAGATTTGAAACAAAAAAATTAAGAAATTAACTCTACAAAATTTAGTTACTGGGCAGCAAAAATCAACGCACTTGATTCCTTGGTTGATACGAAATCCATAAGTTTGCTCATTTTTAAAAATGCATTTTAAACAAAATGTTTTAAATATAAGATCACGTTTGCATAAAATAATTTCCACCATACTTAATATATTTCTTACATAAATGAATTGATACTTACGGTACATTGTATTTATAAAATAGTTGTTATAACACTGTGACAGGTAAGATATCAAATCCATATTTATTTCAAATGTCATTCCATTAATTATAATAGTTAAAATTATTTTATAAAGATTCTGTAAAATATACTATACCATCAATGTCAAACAATAAGAAGTATATAAGATAAAAATATTAAGTCTATTTAGTAAAATAATGACTCGTTTAAATAGTTCAATATATATAGTTTTAACGTATAATTTAATTTTAAGTTTTGATAAATATAGCTATAGCTGTATCAAATATTTAATTAATCCTATTCTATAATTTGTTATTAACTTTTAACGTAAAAGTTGAAGATGTTAAATACGTGTTTAAAGTTATGTTAAAAAAAATAAACATAAATTTAATTTCCAAATAAATGTAAGTTTATTACTATTTAAACATATTGTTGAGATTTTGTAGTTTTGCTCTCAATTCCGACACGGTAGAGTCGGTAGGTGCACCAAATACTCAAAAATCAAAATCAAAATCAAAGTCATTTCAATTTTGTCAACAATTACTCCTTCAGCTATTGATTAAGAATCTAATAAGTCAAAAGAATTTAATTAAGAGTTAAAAGGTCAAAAAAGATTATTAAAAAACTTAATATTTGATGTTATTTATATATTTAATATCACAATTTTTAAAAAACATTTCAAAATGATGATAAACAAAACGAAATCAAAGTTGCATTTATTCGTTTGTTTTATATCATGAAATAGTTTTTTATATTGTGTACACATTATTTAATAATTTAAAATTATCCAAAAAAAATCATTTCTATTTCCATAAACAGAAGCAACAAACAATAAATGAGAGTTGATGACGTATATGCTGAGGTAAACAAATGACGTCATGAGAGTGAGGTATGACACGAGGTATTTTATTTTGGTTCATCAAATTGAGTACGATGAGTTGCCTTGTGAGACTTCCAAACGATCTTTGTATTTTGTTTTTGTGCGGTATAAATTTTATTAACCTAAATTAAAAAATTAAAAAATTAACTAAATTATATTATATAACTATTTTAAGTTTAATAAATTATTAAAATAAAATATTATAGTTTATAATAAGTATTTTATTATATAAAAAATTTAAAATTTAAACCAATATAAAACCAATACGAGTATTCTTTTTAAAAATGTTCTCGTGTAATAATATATTTTCTTCAAAAATTACATGTTATAGATAAAGATTTATTTTTCATGTTATTTATGATTTTAAAAAATAAAAATAAAAAGAAGAAAACTCTTGTCTTTATTTTTTAATAACTAAAAAAGTGATGTAATGATAATATCATTAAAAAAAAAAAAAAGAGTATGTTACATGATGAAACACGTTGATTTGGGATGTTTTCTCTGAAAACAACACGAAGATGAATTGATGAAAGACTTTGATATTTCAGATCACAAGTGGCGTGGGAGTTTGTACTAAAAATTAATGTGTGAATATTATTATTGTAAGTTTGTGATAAGTGCTCAAATATTTGTTATTTTCAATTTTATTATAAACATTTGAAAACATAACAAATGTATTAATCAATTAATAATAAAATTTCACAACTCCTTTAAGTACCAGCGTGCTATTTTCATTTTTATTTCGAAGTATTACGGGAATTTATATATATATATATATATATATATATATATATATAGTAAGAAAAAACACTGATATTTGAACGTATTATTTGAATGAATTGTTAAATATTATTCATAAATAAAGTTATAATAAAATATTTTTAAATTATAATTTTAATTATGTACATGTCTGTTATTATGTTATTATTTTATTTTCTTATTAAGTCCTAAAATTTTACAATTGGTATATCTATTATAGATAACGTTTTAAATGAATATATACTAATCTCGCTTATAAAGAATGAGAGGAAGAAATTCTAAAACTTTAATCAAGTTTATTATTTATCACTGAATTTCAACAATTATGTTGATTTTAACTTTCTTTGCATGATTTATTGTCGTCATACTATCGCAAATCATCAATTAATCACTTATATTTAGCTTTGATTGACCTATCTTCATCATCTCATTGTAATTGTTTTTGTTAATTTTTTTAATATTGGAAAACTTACAAATTCTCACTTTCGATTCAATTGTATAAAATTTGGTTTAAATTTAGTTTTGATAAAATAATGATTAAATATGTTATTTTTTAAGTATATCACACGGTATCATATGGATATAATTGATTTTGGAAAATTTATTAATTTAAATAGTTTTTATAATTTATATTATTTTTTTATTAGATAAGATGAAAACTCTAGTCATAGAGTTATTTTTAAGGCGATCTGTACTCTTATCCTTTAATTTTATTTTTTTTTGTTTTGATTTGACCTTTTATTTCATTTTGTCTCTTTTCTCCGTTTTTTAGTTTTCATTTGTTTATTTTCTTCAACTATGTCAATTTTGCACCACAAAAAATCTTGAGAGATTTTGTTATCACGATTAATAGTATTGTACCGCCACTAAAATTAATAACTTTACACACAATAAATAGAAGTTTAAATGTAATAAAAAATAAAAATAAAACCAGAGTGCACTTACGATGGGTGAGAAAGTGAATGGTTTAGTTTGATCCATAAACAAATTCCGTAACCCTATTTGACACGAAAAAGAAAGAGATAAACTCCACAAAGGATAATCCAAATGTAGATTACAAAACCGTAAACTACCACTTTTCCCATTGGACCATGCAGTGAGTTGTGCAAATTTTGTTTTTAAAGTCTGTCTAATTATTTAACTTTAATATTTTCAGAACAAAACTTATATATTTCTTTCTAGGCATTGTTTATTAATTAAACTTCTAGTTTTATTTTAATAAAAAAAACTATATTCAATATCAATACCTATTATCAAAATAAAATTTAAATTTAAATTAAAAAATATTAAAAGCACCAGTAATACTATACCTAAGTTTTCTTTATGTTTAAAATGTATTCTTATAAATCATGAATGAAGGGTGGGTTATTCTCTCTTATATACATAAAAGAAAAAAAATTCTGAGAGTGAACTTATTTTTATTCTTTAAAAAAAAGATTTTATTTGTCTTTAGGTCTTTTTTAATTGTTATTTATTTTTAAAATTATTTTTATGTTAAGGTTTTTCCTTCTGTCCAAATCTCAATTATTTATATTTTAAATTATTTTCTACAACAAACTTACCTTTTCCTCTAAAATCTTATATTCTTAAACTTACATCTTCATGTTTAACCATTTTAATAACAGCTTAAAGTTCATATTATAATAGTCAAACATAATTAAAAATAAATACATATTTAAGTGTTATATAAATTAAAGTTTAGAAGACATGTTCTATAAATAAAATTTTTAGATTTAGTGAAATCACTATATTTAACATTTAAAGCATTTTTGTGAAATCATGATTCGAACAGTTTCGTCTCTTTTATGCAATGAGACTCCACTCTTATTCTTATTTATCATTTCAAGCATTTGGTGAAATCAGATTGAATCGAACAGATTCAATCCATGCCGCTCACAAATTTACCAAAATTTTTAATTCAATTTAGAGATTCAATACTGATGTATCTATTTTGTCTTAATAGCTTGATTTTCATAACATTGGTTAATAGTGACCGTGAGAATTGAAATTGCCTTGTTAGACTAAACTTGGAAACGAAATATTTGGGTGCAGTCAAATTATAATCTTAGAACGGCTAAGGTTTGTTTGTTAGAGAATGCTTGAGATTCATCAAGGCTTTATTTGAAGTGAAGATCACGATCAGTTAAATTTGCAGAGAGTTGAAAGTTGGTGAACATTTCTTCAAGGCCAGGAGATCTTCTAAATTAGCATTAGTAATTATATATTTAAAATCAAATTAGTTAATAATTATTAGTAGCTTCTTGTAATAGGCAATGAAAACTTTGGTTTCCTTGATTGCTTGTTTCAAATTTTAAATGCAACACCCTGTACACCCAAATACTCTAGCACGCATAATAGCTATTGAACAAAAAGCAAGTACATCTGCTACCATTTCCCGTTTCTTATGTTTACTAATTTTTCTAAATCGATATCTTTCTTTGCTTTTAAACTTAATATTCTGTGGTGTCAATCTTCTAAAATTTTCATATGGTACTGATAAAAGATATGAAACCAAAGGATTCCCTTCCTTGCATGAAAAACAAGAATCATAACTGACTTATCGAAATTTACAGCATACACAACTAAGTATGAACTTAATGAAAAGTATGAAATTAAAAGCTTTTTCGTTAGATAGCATTAACCAATGTATAAGTCTGAACATAATGCACTTTGGAGTGTAACGCAGAAGAGGGTGCCTTTTTGCGTTAAGCTATGCTCAGATGGGAAATAGGGTAAACATGTAAAAATGTAAGGGTGTTAAAAAGAATATTGATATTCTACCAATATAATAAGTGCTATATGTCAATCTTTAAGCCAAATGAACTTTGAGAATATATAGCACTTGTGTATTTGTGCGCGCACGAGCGTATAATAAGTGATGCATACTTCTATCATTTAACAGACAACAGAATACATGTAACTATTGCAAAGCGTTTCAAGATCAACAATTTACAATGACAAATTTCTATACTTTTCCTCAATGAATGGTTAGAACTCAAAAATTGATGTAAACGAGCTCTTACCAGTACTTGCCGGCAGCAAATATGCAAAATAAAAATACTAAGAAAAATTCTCTAGTTTATAACAAGAATTTATTGCAAAATATAATGTCCTCTAGAGGAAAATGTTGATTTCCTTTTCAGTCATCTCGAAGACATGGTCTCGTGCATCAGCCAAAGCACTCTGCATGTGTAAGTATATTTAGATCCATGAAAATCAAATAAAATAAAAGGAAAGATAAAAGTGGGCAAAAGCAAAAGCAATAGTGCAAAATACATCACCTGCCCAAATTTTGTAAGGAAGTTACTGGCGATGTTGAGGGATGTGACAGCTACGTCTTCATTAGACTTGAGTGCTTGAGCAATAGCAAAAGCTCCATCATCCTGTGAATCAGACAAATACGAGATTAGAAATGATGTGCTTTCCTTCTGAACAAAAATACAAAACAAATTCATACCCTTATTTCATTAAATCCTAAATCTAGAGAGGTTAAGGCTTCATTAACCACTTTCAAGCTGCGAGCCAGGCACTGTGCACCCTGCAATAGTTGATTCATTAAACAATCAATCCTAAGATTGACTGATGGTTTGAAAAAATATACATTGAAAATAGACTCAAGAAACTGAAAAACAAACTTCATCTCGTAGTCCGTTTGCTCGCAAGTCCAAAATTGAGATGGTAGTGTTGTATTTCAAAGCATCGGCAATGAACTCTGCTCCCTTTGCACCTATCTGTAAAGGTATTCTATGTTATAATAAAAGTTGTTACAAACAATTTACAGGATACATGGTGAAAACTTTACCTGGCACCAACCAAGCTTCAGAGTTTTTATGTTTCCATGAAACTTGAGAATTTCAGCCAAGGCCTTGGCTCCATCTGGTCCAATGGGATTATAACTCAGTTCTAACTAAGAATGAGAGATAAAATCTGTGTCAGAGTATACAAAAGACAAACAACAGAACAATGGGCAAGTGAGCAACTAAATAATTGTTGAGGCTTACAGTGGTAATAACTAAATTATCTTTCAAAACTTTAGCAATAGCACTAACACCATCAACGTGAATGTTATTTCCCCCCTGCAATATTAACTCAGCCAAGTCATGTCCCAAGCAAAAGTATTAATATCTTGCTGTTTTAGTTTTTTTGTTATGCTAATGGCAAAAGCAGAGGCAGTAATAAGGCAGAGAAAACATGCAGAAACTAAAAGGTAACAAACACGGGAACTCTTCTTACCAGATCTAATGTTGTTATTGACCGGTTTTCCTTTAAAGCATCTGCAATTTTTTCTGCTCCCTGACAATTATACACAATACACAATCAATATAATGACTATAATCATAATTTGTATTGTCCTCTTAAATATCTACCTTTGCCAATCTATTAATTTTGTTGTAGTAATTGTCACTGTGAATACAAAGTGAAAATGCATTTTCTCAAGTGTGACAATATGGACCTTTACTACCAGCTATTTATCATCCCCTACCTCTTGGTACACTTACATGAGAGAATGGAATAGGGCACGCATGGTTATGTCTGATTATAAATTTACTATTAAACTTTCTTTTTGCAGATACACAAAATATACATAATGCACTTGTAGTTTTGACAGTATACAAGGCAATTTATATTGGACAGTTGCGGAAAAAAATAATTTCACGAATCTCCAATATCATATATCAGTACAATACTTAAAACATCTTAAGGATCCTATTCATTGCGAGACCTCATGATGTAACACAATTTTGACAATATTGATGATACTCGTGAAATAGGTGAAAACTATAATAAAGAATACCTCATCACCAATGTCATTCATGTAAAGGTTCAACCATAACAAGCTTCTGCTCTTTCTAATATATTCAGCAACATGGAGCGCACCTTTAGATGTTAATGAGTTGTTGCTGATGTCTAATAGTGTAAGTTTCCCTAGAGAATAAATATTGCTCGTCAGTTAATTGTAAAATATTAAAGTGGAATCGTTGAAGAATAAATGACATATAGTCAATATCAGAAATTGGTACAAGCGAAGTTAACCTTTATGTAAAGATAGTCCTGTCATCAAAGAGCGGATTCCTTCATCTCCAATAGAATTTCCATGCAAATGAAGTTCCTGTCCATACAGTCAGAGGAAATCATGCTTGTTAAATGCAGCATATAGCTAGATAAGGTTCATGTGGATGCAGCAATATTTTGTCATTGTGATAAGAGTATACATGTAGAAGGATTAGCAAAGGGTAGCACTCAATCTTTCTTAGATATGCTTTGAAATTTGTGATTTTCTGCTAGGCAATTCATAGTAAAATCATGTGCTATCATAAGACAGATGTTTTGGATCAGGCGGCCAAGGCGGGAATTCTGAAAGCTATGCCAATAATAACTTGAACAGCATGAGTGTAAGAATAGTCATTTAATCCAAAAGAAAATAGGAATAGTACCCTTAAAGATTTGTTGCTCTCAAGTGCTTTAGCCAATGCATTAGCCCCCAAAGCACCACCGTAATTGCCACTTGAATATGATGATGTCAAAAGAATTCATAAAAGGAGGAAAAGAAAAAGAAATGGGCTGTTAAAACTTTACTTGTGAAACAGATCCAGGGAAAATTACAATATCAAAAGCATGAAGATTATAAATCAAACAGTCATTCCCTCAAAATTTCCAGCAGGGTGGATTGGGGAGGAAAATTTTCAGAAGACAATGTGACAATTTTTACTTACTTGAGATGAATATTTCGTATAGTGTTATGCTCAAGAAGTGCTCCAGCCAGACTTGAAAATCCCTACCTCCATTTCCAAGAAACATTAGAATAAGATTTGGACACTCAGGCATCTATAGCCTTAGAATAAGCTTAGATAAATTTCATACAGAATATTCAATCAAGTTGTTGTTAAGTTCAAGAACCCGCAAACTTGAATTTTTCTTCAACATTTCAGCAATAGCTTTTGCACCCTGCATAACACAGCAACCATTTTTTAGTGCAATGTAGGGGCATTCTTTGAATAATACTTATCACCAAGCTAACCTCATCACCCAAGTCAGCACTGTTTAGTTGGAGCTTCTCGATGCTGGAGTTATTCACCAATATGTCACACAAACACTGTAAAGTGTGAACAAGAATATCAATTGTCAATACTTTAATACAATATTTAAACCTAAGTGTATGACAATGATCAACAATACTCGCCAACAAATTTATTTTCCTTTTTCTGTTTGAGAGAGGATGGAGCCATGGAGGTGGGTAATAAACATATCTCAAACAGAGTCCTAATAATCATCATGGTGAGTTAAGTAAGCCATAAGCTTCTTGATCTATAGTCCAAGGTTCTTTAAGGCGTAAAGAGAAATGAAAATATAGTAGCAAATACAGTATTATAGAGGAAGATTCTGTCATAGGCTATTCCTGTTATCCTGTGTATGCTTGAAATAGGATCGCAGATAATCCAAGCTCAAACAGTAAGTAAATAGGATGGACGTCAACTTTAAAATGATCCATTGTATTCCTCATTTGCACTTGAATGGACTATTAACTTAACTAGCCATAACAAGACACGATGGATTGAATTTATACCAAAAGTGTTATAGTAACTTAAACAAACCAGTGAACGAACCTATTCAACAATCAAGCTTCCATAAAATATGTCACTTTTTTTTGGATAGTATACAATACCATATTTGATTGCAAACAGCCTAAAAAACTTGAGCAAAATAGCAAATACAGAGAGGTTACTTATAAGTGTCAAATTCAATTTACTGCACTATGCAATGATTATGAAACATTAGGAGGTAATATTGTGGTTAATTACTGAACATGTAACATAATGATAGATCAGTTGAAAACAAGGCTTAAGTATGATCTGGCAGAAGGAAGATATTTCAGGTACAGGATTATCATTGACTGAGCAGGTGTTCCTAGAAATGATGCCAACAAATTTAGGTGATTGTTTCAGGAAAGATGCTTCATGCTCTAGAATTAAGAAAGCAAAGGCATTGCTATCCTTAATTATCCAATTTATCCTGTTATGCCTACATGCGTACCTTCACTCAAATTATTATTAGGTTGGAAATTGAATAGTGCATTCAGAACCTAAACTAAGAGAGCACTTTAAGCAAACAGAGAGCAGGATGCTTCATAAGTGCTCCATGTCAAAAGAAGTATGTAAGAAGGAGCAACATCATTTTTATTATTAATAATAATACTGAGGAAATAAGTGTGTTCGCCATAAATAAATACACGAGCATAAGCATTCATCTAAATCTTCAGAATTTCATCATGAACAATGTATCAAAGCCTAACTAACTAAGTGGTAAGGAGTTTAGCCCCAAATTTAAAATAAAAGTTGAATTTCTACATAAGGTGGCCAGTCAGAAACAAAACCATTCATAAGATTTCACCTAACAATATAAAATTTTACATGAGTTAGTTCTTAATGTAAGTGTATGAGGGCACAGAACTTTTATAACAATTATCCAAAAATATGAAGACCTTTAAAATAAAAGGAACTGTAACAGTAATTAATCCAAATCCTGAATTAGGCAAGGTTATTAATAAATCAGAACAAGGACTAACCTTAGCCCCTTCGTCTCCAACAAGGTTTCCAGAAAGATCAAGAGTTTTCAATGTGGTGTTTGTTTGAAGAACACCGTCAAAAGCTTTCAATCCAGCTGTGGTTATTCCATTTGCAGCAAAACTCACTTCCTCTGCAATCTATATAACAAAATATAGTTAGCACATGCTCACGCAGACAGCACCAAATGCATCTTTCATTGCATTATTTTCTTATGAATCTAAACTCAACTTCCACCCAGTAAATTTCACTGTAAGCAAGATTTGGCTTATACAAATCATAATGGCAGTACAATTTTCCGAGCAATCTTATATTGTATCTGTTGAGATATTACATAGATTATTAAAATATACTAGGAGATATTGTTTGATTATGATTTTTTTTTCCTTGGCTGTCTTCATTTTCTTTCTTAGGATATCTCAATAATCTACGTAATATCTCAACAAATAATCTACGTAATATCTCAACAGTATCAAACTGATAATTTACATGCCTCTCGATTAATCAACCATACATGACTCTAATTAACTAATTATAAGTTATAACGTGTTTCATCCGGAAGAAATATAATGATATTCTAATATGTGTTCTACCCAATGTGTTGATCAGTTCTCTGTTTGGTTCATAGACAAAAAATGTGAACCTGTGTCCAATTTTACAAAGCGGGGCTCTGCATATGCTAATATAACTAACCATCTAACCGAATACATTCATAAAAACCCCTGGCCTAAAAGATTACAAGGTTAGATCAGTAATAAAAGAAAAGGTTAAGTAATTTAGGAAGCATAATTCATTTTTAGAAAGAATAGATGCCATGTTCAGCCTGTAAGTTACATAGTTTTAAAGGGTTTCACTGACTGATATCTCAACTTTCAAGATGACTTTTTGGACTTAGACCATCTCAACTGAAGTTGGTTGCTCAATTCAAATTTTTATTATATTTATCTGGGTTTTGTTATTACACATCACTTTATATTATTTTATGTAATTTTTGGCATATTTTTGCTTTAATCATGCAGCTCTCTCAATCCTTGCATCAGAAAGGAGTTTCACTCTCTCTCAGTTTCGGTGCATGTTCTGGGTTTTCCTGCTTTTACTCCCTATAGTACAAATTGGGGCCCGCTTTTTTTGTAGTCAACCATTGCTTAGACAGGAAATGGTTCTTGACACTTGGTCTCTCATATCAGTCTAGTGGTGCACCCATGTTATGATGCATTGATTAATAGTAAAAAATAAGTAAAGGAATGCTGATAGAGTTGCTCTTAGACCCAGTGACACTACTTACAGACGCACACATGCACATGCACACACAATCTAATCAAATCCCTTTCTTTCATATAATCTGTAACTGACTAGTCAAAGGTTGTGGATGGATAATTAAAGTAAATATTGAAATACTCCACTGTTAATTACATGGACTAAGCCGTGATGACATTCGGATTTAAGTTATAATTTAGGAATAAGTATGCATAATAATATCATTGCCTTAAAAGGATCAACATAAACTTAAGTTTTGGGTTTTCCATCATTTCATTGTGTAAATGTGCCATTTTGAAAGCAAGTTATTCCCCACATATTCATATTTGCACTTCATAGCCAACAGCTGATAATCAAACATTTAAAATCACAACTAACAACTACATACTGCCAGTAATATTATGTTTCAATGAAGGAAAAAAATTAGTTACATTAATGCTTATGTTTGGCTTTCAACAATGTTAACAGTAATTCAGCTGTTTAGCATATTTCTTCCTTTAAATAACTAAAGCAATGGATGCTCTAAATAATTCTGGCATGAGCCTGTCCAGAAGATAACATCATCGCATCACTTCCAAATTTCCAATAACAGTACTAAAACTGGAAGTGAATCTATAAGTAATAAATACACAAGCAACGATAAATGAAGTTGTTACCTGGTTGAACGCTAAGCTCTCAGCAAGGAAGAATAACCCTTCATCTCCAAAGTTGCGCCCTGCCAAATTAAATGTATGATAAATTAATTTTTGTTTTATTTATTCATTCATTTTGATAGTACCCACACTCTAAAATAATCATGTCAATGAGTCAACTGCAATAAAACAACAAATATCAAATGTGTTAGGAATGATTAAAATATGGAATTGCTTTGCTTCGAATTGAATTAATTTGATTTAGAAATCAATTCATATGTCTTGATCTTAATATAAAATTAAAAATATGGTTCAAATTTATTTTCCAATCAAATGTCATATTTGGAATACTTGAAAAATGAATGGAATTCATTTATTTAAGGGATTTACTTTGTTATCCTTATGAGAATATGAGGTAAAGTGGGTAAACTACTAGGAGCAAGACTGTGAATCAAATAATTAAAACTAAAATGAAATCAGATCCAATCAAATTTGAGTGGATTTCTGAATTGACACAAATCAAAAGGATTTCAAAATAAATCATGTTTTATTTCATAACTTTCCATACAAAGAATTTGATTCATAAATACAATCAATTTCTTAAAAATAAATTGGAAAGACAGAAAACAAAATCAGGAGACATGAATATTCAATTGAAAGGATGTTATTAATCAATAGAAGTCCAAAATCAACTAGGTTAGCCTGTGAAATTTTTTGGTATTCATGAAAATAAGGATCAAATTCAGTCCATGAATGGTATAATAACTAAGTTTAAAAAATTATCAATGAAGAATCTTCATTTATTGAACACAAAGGATATTATAAACCATAAACATATTTTTCATTTATCAACTTATCAATCCAGAGAGCATACCTGACATATCAATGCTTGGAAATGACCTCAGTTCTCGAGCAAATTCATTGAGCTTCTGTTTAGATTGTCTCTCAATCTTCGCGCCAAGCTGGGATAACAAATTCGTACCAGCAGCAAAAGACCATTTCACTCCTTGTGAAGTGGATTGACTTTCTGCAGTTGAAGATTTTAATTGCTTCTGAGTTGGACCAAGAAGCTTCTCCACTACTTTCCAGATAACTGTACGCTGAAAACAAATTAGTATCACCCCTATTATGAATCTAAAAAATAATGCATGCTTGTGATCACAACAAAAACAACCAAAAAGAGAAGAACCAAACTAATAGCAGTGAAATGCCGCTTAAATAATTAACATGAATATTTCAAAATGTCCACCTAACTAGAGTCAGATTGATACTTGAACGGAAAGAAGACATTAGAACTTTCTGTGTTTGAGAGGGGTCTGTGGATTAAGGGAAAAAAATGTTAAGGAAAAGTAAATTTGTCAGCAAAATTAACAGTGTTAGAAAACTTTAAGGACAATGCCACTCTAGGGATATACAAGGCCCCACACCTATGGATACCATATTAGATACTTCTCAAATGCATCGCTTACTACTTTTTACTCTTATGAATTTTGTGCCAATGCAAATGAAATAAGAACTTGATAATGTTAGCCTTCTATTATGTGTACAATGACCACTTTTAATTGCACAACAAATTAACTACTACTTTTCATTCATAATGCCTCATGATGGTTGTGTGTGTGTTGTTAAACTCAAGAGTTGAGTAAAAATAAATGAGTTCCAACTTCCACAATTCCAGGGTGAAAAACCAAGTCGCCACTTGTAAACTCAGACCGGATAAAATTAAACTAGACTCAGACAAACTCGCATAGACTCGGTCATAATCACGAGTCTGTATCCAAATTAGTGTTTATGTGAAGGGCAGAAATAAGCCCCCAAATGCCCAAATCGGCACAGTTTTGCTAGGGTTCATCCATTTTGTGTTTTCCCCGTCTCCTTCACGATACTTCTCTCATCTGCCTACCTCCCAATAAGCCTCCTCAATTATTCTTCTGCAGTTGCTCCCTCTGACCAGCCTCCAGTGACAACAGCTGCTCCTCCAATGAGCCTCCAGCCTGAGAAGAACCTAAGCCGACCATACCAGCAAAAGCTGCTTGGCTGCCACAAACCTGCAAGACTGCAACTGCTTGTGACGTCTGAAACTACAAGCAATGAACAAGGTAGCCTTTTTGTCTGAAATTGCAATGCTGGTTGAGAACTTCAGAATTTGAGATCTTTGCAAATTGAAATAATTGATCACTACGAAGGCAGAATGTTGGATATTTATTATTTTATGGTATTACAGCAGGATGTTATGATTAAGTTCTTTCAATAATAATTTTTATTAGGTAAGGTCTTATGAGTTTCCAAGATTGGGTCTGTAGATCTCCACGAGTTTACATAAGACTCTTGAGTATGAAAACCACGTATATGATATTGGATTGCATTTCCCTATCCTGAGCTGAATGATGCTTAAATTACACTACCCTTCCCTCTTATTTAAAAAATTACACGTCTTTCCCAAGAGAGAGGAATATATGCTACCCTTTAATTCATTTTAATGTCAATGAGCCTTCCAGGGAGTTTTTTTTAACTCTTGTTATAATTATTGGTATTAAGGACAGTTGATTTTGAACCTCGTCAACCAAATTTTGTAGATGATGAAATAAAGGATACGGGTAAAGAGTTCTAAAGCTGATAGCATTGGTGCATAAACCTCCAGTTAATCTTTCTAAAGCTCTAAAATTGATAATTTAGAGCTTCATATTCGCTGTTGGTGATATTGAAAGTAACAGATAAAATATTCTAGAAAAGCAAGTAGCTCACCACCATTAAGAGAAAGTGTACTACGAGGCGTAATAATAAAGAGAGTACTAAACGCTGTACCTCAGTTGTAACCGACACTAGTATGTAAACATATCCACGCGTCATAGATTAAAATGCAGGCAACGACATAAACAAATAAAGAACCATCAAATTCAAAACCAAAAAAGCGAAAATATGCAATGGATACCAAAAGTAAGGGCGAAGAACGCGCCAACGGAAGCAACAAAGTTGCCAATCTGTTTCACCGGAGCATTGGACAGTGGCGCATTAGTCTGAGACTGGCGATAGACTCTACGAGAAGCGGTGGCACGTGCCGGAGTTCCTTCGACGCTGGAAGAAGCCCTAACCACGAAGCTCCTGAACTTGGCGCCCGAAGAACACGCTCTCCGGCTCTTGAGAGTTGGAAGCCGTACTAATTGAGCGACGCCGGCGGCGGTTATGGCGAGCGATTGCAACCGCTGGTGATGGAGACGAACCTGCAGCGAAAGAGAGAAAGCGATAGGGTTCGAAAGAAGAAGAAGAGAAAAGAGGAACGGTTAGTTAGTTATTATTGATGGAGTTGGTCACCTGCGGATGAGAGTAGAGAGAAAGAGTGGAAGCGAAGGCCATAGGTTATGACAAATGAAGGAGCATAGAACAATAGAAGAATGGAAGAACCAATCACAGATATAATTAATGGAAATGCTTGGTATTGGGAATTTGGCAGAGAATGAAGAGAAGAAAGCGAGAGGCAGGAAGGTCTCACTAGCTATGACTATAATGAACCATGTCTCGCTCGTTCTATTCCGCTCTATTCTATCAACTCTACTCTCCCAGTCACAGTAAGTGAGTGTTTGTGTCTCACTCTGAGGGTGTTAATGGGCTAGTGGGCCACTATTTTAAGGTCCAAAACCAACTAGGCCGAGAATCCTCAGTTGTCCAGATAATAGTTTCATTTACATATCTGGCCTTATTCCTCTGGTATGTTGGCTGGATTTTTGTATCAATAAGTTGTGTACTGAATGTTATCAATAATACATAAGCTGGATTTTTCATTGTTCATATGAGAATCTACTTGTGATTATGAAGGTTCATATATTTACTAATTGGAAGAGTGCATGGAATGTTCGTATAATAAATGTGGGGAATTGTTCTTGTGAATATGGCTCTTCCAAATTCATCGTCATGATTGGGTGATTGGATACATTTTTGAAAATGTTAGGCCCAATTATTTTCTTCGTTTGAAACTGAACTTACAGCAATATCTCACTTTTAAATTATGTTCACATTCAAAATCGTAATACGTATATTCTAAACATAATTACTGATTGAGTTTAGCATAATCTTGATAAATAATTATGATAAAAAGTCTAAAAACATATAAGAACAGTTTACTATCAATTTATTTTAGATTTCAATAGAACTGATCTTGAATCATTAAAGGCAATTGAAATGCGCATCTAAATTAATTTTAAACATGACTAAGAACTTTTAATTTAAGACTAAGAACTTTTAATTTAAACGAGCTAAATTATAACAAAATTAATGTAAACTAAACTTTCATTTACAATCATATCCTATCAATGACATTTAGGGTTTCTAACTTGCCCTTCTGGCCACAGGCTGTTTTGGGCTTCATAATAGCTTTGTATATTATAACAGGGTATCCTTTGTCCTTATTATATATCAATCACTCGATGATAGTGTGATGTTGCCTTGTTAATCATTTTTGTTGGGCCACCTAATACTCTGTGTCCAAGCATGCATTAATAAATTCTGAATTATAAGGTATAGTACACATTTTTTAATATATTCTGAATTATTGTTTAAAAATTATTACGAAGTATAAAAGTATGAATGAGATTTATTAAAAAGTATATTGCTAACATTTTCATGATCATGAACCTGTGTCTTCAATTTGTTACTTTTTTCTTTACCCAGAAAGATGAGTGCTAAATGAATCAAAATAAGCATGTATAACGACCAAAACAAAGCATTTCTTTGTCGAATTTACTTTATTTAAATATACATGTCTAAATTTAAACAAGAAATATCATAGCAACTAAATCCTCGACCTTCACGTACAAGAAGCTGCAACCTTTGTTAGCTCTTGTTTGTTCTGTGTAAAACCAACTGGCATAAGCAATGCACCCTTCACTATTTATGTAACTAACGTTGGTTCAGAAAACAAAACAAGTCTCCAACTTCAATCAACAAATAGTATTATTAGTAGATATGGCTTCACCACTCAAATTCACCATGTTCTCAACTTGTCTTTTGGTTTTGGTTGCGGTTGTTGCCTCTCAATATGGAGATGGCGGGTCTAACTATGGCTCTGACATGCCTAGCAACATGCCAATGGGTCCTGCACCACACTCCTCTGCTAGCCTTAATTTTCCTACAGTGATGACTGTGTTCCTTTCTTTTATGCTTAGCTTTTTTGTAACCAAGGAGAGAATTTAATTTACTATCCTTATAGTTTCTCTTGGCTTATGGTTTTTTATGTTCTCGTTTTAGTGGGCATGTGTTGTGTTCATGTCATATGTTGGTTTCATTTATCTGTCAATTATGTTTGTGTACTTGAAACTATACTCATGTAATAATACAACTCTGTATCTTGCTTGCTATGCTATATCTGTTATCCAATAATGGTATTACTATACGTTTTCTAATGTCCCGGCCTTGGGGTTTTTGTAAGCAATTAATTGAATCGATACTAAAACTAGAACATCTGATTTATTATTAATGAAATTACTGTCATTTAAAATTAATCTTTAAAATCATAATCTCTGATGAAGCTGTAAGTAATCAGAATATCCAAGGTTAAGTGGAAATTTTATTCCTATTACACGTAATCCAATCTCTATTTATTATAAATGTTAAGCCTGTTAAGCCTTACCTGCAATTTTAACACACTTGTTAATTGAGTTTGAATCAAATAAATATACACGTGTTTCTCAAAATCTATAATCAATTACAAAATAAAGTAATCGAGAAAACTCTTAACAGTTTAGCCTTTTGCATGATAAAAGGGTATTTATGATAGCACTAATCAAATTTAAAAGATTAATTTTGTTATTTAACTTATTTTGTACATTCAAACAAACTTCCTCCTTACCGATATGCTTAGGTCGGTGTGATAAGCAAGTCACAGTTGCCTGAAGTTCAAATTCTGCACCAGAGTACAATTATTTGATGGAAATCAAAGACCAAAAGAAAAATTATCCATATTGTGGCCCGCAAAACATATTCAATACAGCAAGTGTTTTCATTTATCTATTTATTTTTTAAACTGCATATAGCAAGAGTTGACAGTAATCAAGTACACTTAATTTATAATCATTTTCGCCTTTGCATTTGCATCATACATATTGCAAAGCAAATAGAGGGGTTAGCTACAGTTTCAATTTGCACCACAAAATCTTACTCGCTTGTCTACACAACACTCCAAAAAATAACCATCACCTCACTGTGTGCAATGTGAATTCTTTCTTTTCCACCGTTTCACCATGACATGTGTCCCTTACCCTCCAATTCTTAAGAGAACCTTCAATATTACCGTTTCATCATTCATCCTCTTAGCTTTGAGTAACATCTTCTGCACAAAAATGTAACTATAAAGCATGCTCTTTTTTTTAATCTCAAATTTGGAGTAGATTTTTGGTACTCTGGTAGTATATATTCTCTAACAGTTACATTTTCTTATTTGATAACTTCTTTATTTTCAATTGAAAAAAGTTTTAAATCATGGAAAACTATCCTGTGAGCGTTCCTATAAAAGAAAATGAGAGGACTGAGTTTTTTTTTTTTCTTTCCAAATTTAACTATCTACCCAAGCACACGTTACTCACAATGACAATGGTCCAATTCATAGCCAACTTCAAGTGAACACACCATTGGGTTTTCTCACCCCAAACATATATAAGTGGACCTTCGTATAACTAAGAGTGGGAAAATGCACCCCTTCTCACTTAGAACAGAATTATAAGTGATATAAATCTCTAAAATAATGTTTTTTTGTACTATTGTAGGAGATATTTTTAGTTGTTTTCTTTATATGTAAGATGTATTGTTAGAACATGTATATATAAAATAGATAAAAATATAAGTATGAAATAAAGATGATACACAAAATCAAATTTTAATCATTCAAACACTGAAACTGAATAATTTATATTTTAACCTCCTTCCAAACTCAAATGGATTTTTATAGTCAATAATAAATATGTATTATTGGAACTTGCGGAGAAGGCTGAGAGTGCCGTTGGCCACAGACAATGCGTTGTGGGTATGGATACCGGATTGGAGGACAAGGCACTGTGGTTGTATAAGATTACATTTTTTTTAATGTTTTTCTTTTCATTTTTCTGTTACATCAATCATTTTACTTTATACTTCTTTCTTCTTATACAAAATATTGTACACACTTATCATTTCTCGAAAATGTTTGTTGAGAATGTGAACATATTGTTTTGTATTTACTCATGCCATGCACAAAGTTACTTAGGCTTGCAAGGTTGGGTAGGAGAGGTGAGGTAAGGCACAAATGCAAATTTTTCACCAAAGTAAATATTCTTTTTAGTTTAAAGTACATGCATCGTTTGAGTCAATCATATTTTCCTATTTGAGTTTAAAAAAACTATTTTTCAATATATATATATATATATATATAGAGAGAGAGAGAGAGAGAGAGAGAGAGAAATCTGATTGAAATAAAATAAAACATGTATCATTGAAACGAATCATTTGTAAGTAATAATCTTAATAACTGATTTGTTAAAATTGATCAAACATCGTGTTAACACTGCGGTTATATCAAGATCTCTTGCTCATGTCTCAAACAACAGCGACTATATCACTCGGACTCAACTTGGTTGATGCTGTATAAATACAAGCAAACCTTCCCATCTTGGACTAGCTCACCTCGACTAAATTGAGGATCAATGATGCTTGATGATGCAAAAGAAATATTAGTAACATAGTGTTAACACATTTTTAATTATTTACTAAAATTGATTAAAAATTATAAAAATATAAGAAAGAAACATTAATTTAAGAGTGAAAAAAATTAGATTGAAATAATTTTTGTAATTTTTAATAAATTTTAATTAATATTTAAAAGTATGTTAGAGAATATAGTATTAGCATTTTTTACTATGCAATAAATAAGAATTTGCAAGACCTATCCAACCAATTAGTACAAATCATACACCTAACTCCTAATTATCAAAGGGTTTAGCCATTTAAACTCTCATGTCCCGTTAGGTAACTTTTACTGCACGATATTAATCCAACAACTAATGTTAAAAATAATGATGAGAGCCTAAGACTTCAAGAAATCGCCATCTTTATAAGGGAAAGGGCACTAAGAAAGTACGTTACTCTCTCTAAGCTACACTCAGAACTTCCTTGCCCAAACGCGGTCTAATTTGAGCATTTGATTGTTTTTTTGTAAGAACTCCCCCATCATCCTCCTGCATTTGACATTAGAGTATCAAACCTTGTGTTTATAAAATACCCTCTACCCTCGAATTGAACAAAAATGAAGCTTTAATTTATTTTAAAGGTGCTAACAAAAATCAGGGGATACTAAGATTGTGAAAATAAAAGTAGCAATTAACAAAGATGACAATTATAAGGAAGGAGTATCAAGTTCCTTCTATGGAAGTATTAGTCCTTTTCTTTACATTTATGATTATAGGCATACATAATCATACTTGCCAGCACAATTTAATTTATAAAAGGGAAAAAAATTGCAACTAAGTCACACTGTTTAATGGCCCCCTCTTTAAATTTGAAACAACAAATTGTATCAATTAAGAAAAACCTTTGCCAGCTAATGATTTGGCTCCTAGTAGCGGGTATTTAAGTCTCTTTAATTGTCCCATCCAGATTGGCTGCATCTTTACTAAAGTATCAAATGAAGGGTCCAAATAACACAACACCTTTTATATTGTTGCATTAGGTTGATTCTACACCTCATAGATATTAAAAACGGATTGGTTGTGAAAAGAAATTTTAAATAACCAAGAACAATACCATAAACCCAACTTCAATTTCAACATTTAGTTAGACTACCATCTCACTACTTGTTTTGTCGCAATTTTTCTATGGTTGGACGGCAGCATCACTTTTCACTTTGTTGGCTGTAAATTATCTTCATACATCATTAGAGCTTTTGTGCAACGCTTGGAGATCCATATTTAACTTATGCCATCTTTCGGGCATTAAATAACTATTGAGATCAAACCACAAATGTTCCAGCTTGGCAACCCTAAATCAAAATAAATGTATACACAAGCCTCAACTGCCAATCATTGCCGCTGGTAATGATAATTTTCCGCAAAAAAGTCATGGTTCTAGGGAAGAATCGAATGACTTAATTAAATATATGAGATTAATCATTATGCAAATTGGTGACGGCAGGGGCAAAAAATAATGTAAAATAAAAAGCTAAACGTGAGAGATGCTTAAGGGTGAAAAGGTGTGCTGCAATAATTACACTTAGCCCAATTCCAGCTATTATAAATTTGACTTCCTGGCCCTATCCTCCAATACTTTGCCATTACAGCTAAACAAAATTACAACCCGCGCAGAGAGTTGATAATGCTTCATCAATAAATCAAACAATTTACAAGTACGAATCTGAAGATGGCTACTGAGACAAATTAAAAGGAAAGGAGGGAAGGGATTATACAAAAACAATGAGTTGTTGTCATCCTTGACACACTTGAGTGACAGATATTAACCAAACCATCCATCGACATTTGGTTGTTGCTTGGCAAAGCCTTCCTCTTAACTTGCACAGGTGCTGAACAATCAAAAGGGTGCAGGATCAACTGATTATAGTTTTACCGTGGCATTCAGAATTGACAACCAAATGATAAAATAATTCATTACTTATCAATACATGAGTGATAGAAGAACAACTTAATTCTCCAATTCTCACATTAGCAAGCCTTTCTCTTATCAACTCTTAAGTGGAGGTTATACCATTTCTTCTTATTTGGCCGATCTCTTGAACTCCTTTTTTCCCTTGCTTGGCCATCTTCTTTTGCCTCCTTGGAAGAACTTTTACTTCTGCTCTTACTAGCACTCCGTTTTAAAGGAGTAGTAGTGTATGATGCATGTATTTCATTTCTTTGCTTCAGTAGCTCATCAATCTGCACAAGAATAGATAGCACAAATTCAGTGGCTTCCATTTGATGAAAAAATTTTGTCTGAAGGAGGGGAATGTGATGCTGTATATAAACCCTTGTAATAGAAGAACTCACTGCTTGCATTTCATGTGCATATCTGCTTGTCATCTCTGTGAATTGTGCCAGAACCTACAAAGACTCAGCGTGAGATTTGATGAAAAATAATGTTATTACAACCATATGGAAGCTTGTATCAAAGTGCAAACCTCTCGATATTCTGCTTCAAACTTTGATATTTCTGCCCTTTTAGACAAAATTTGAGCTTCTATACTTCTTAAATTTTCTTTTTCTTCACTAAAAGGTGCAGCACACAGAGCTTCTATTGTATAGTTTGCACTTTTGAAAAAGTTGTCACCTAGAAGATATTTGATAGTCAATTCCTATAAAGCAAAATTATAGCCAGCAAACATAACAAGCAGCACTTGTCCACTGGGCATAAAAGTATGCATTTACCATAGACAGCAAATACATGTGTGCCAGCCTTCAATTCTGTTAATTCACATGGCTGGAACCCATCCAGCTTTCTGAAAAATGATGTATCTGGATCCTTAGCAGCAGCTATCTGTAGAGAAATAATTCAAGAACCAAATTTTAAAATGAAAAATGATAGATGGAATTTAGATTAAATTGTATCCTTTTACAGTAGCTACTCACAGAGGTCATTGTTTGATCCAACCGATAAACAGGAAACCCAAGAAAATACATTCCAGCAGAAGTAACCTTCCCTGTTTTTGCACTGTCTTCCTACAACAAGAAATGTCATAGAATGTTCAGAAGTCAATATGAAAAAAAATGCATGAAATAATTACAAGAGGCCACTAACATGCAGATCCAATGAATAAAACATCACATCAGAAATGATTAGTTCCTCAGGGGAAAACCATACATTATGTTGACACCCATACAGGAGAAAATGTATAATACCTGGAGTGCAAGACTTAAACCACCATTGTCTTCCTGATCGAAATATAATAACTGTGGAAAGAAAATTAATCAACACCACTGGAAAATATTATTTATAAACCTAACAGATTAATTTTTGAAATAATAAGAAATTATATGAAATCAAGTAAAACAGTAGTATACAGTATACACACACACATCAATGTTTTACAATGTAGAAGGAAAAAAGAAAATCTTTGAAAATGTAAAATCAGAGCACAAAAATTAATTACAGATGTAAGAGATAGTTCACTATTTTCCTGTGAAGATAGAGAATTATCCTCTCAAAAGTTCCCTTAGTAGGAATCATTCTAGTGCAACAGAATCAATCAGACCTTCCATATCAAGAACATCTTACAATCCCAAGTAAATCTTGGCTCATTAACATGCACTAAATTAGAAACAACTCCCAAGACCAATTTGTCTTCTAGTTGCATAGATTTTTTTTAAAACTCTTGGATAACATTATGATTTAACTTCCAATTCTCTCTTCTTCTTTTTTTTAAAAAAAGAAGCTTTCATGTATTTAGACTGATGACACCCCCCCCCCCAAAAAACCCCAACCATAAAACTATCTTAAATCTTAATATCATCAGGTTGAGCATAACTTATAAAATTTATTGAATCGCAGTGATGTAAATTCCAACCTTGAACTTGCTTTTGTCTGACGATTGAACTCGACAAACAAATCCAGCTCGCGCTTCCTCTTCTGTAATTGTAACTGAATAGAAGTGCGCACATTGCTTCTCAACCTGTCAGACAAAGGCACCAAAACAAAAATAAACAAAAGAAAAACATGACTAAAAAGGAATCAATGAATTAAAAAAACAAAGCAGCTCACCCTTTTAGATATAAACTGTCCCAATAGAAGTGGACGAATGGTCACTAAACCATTGAGTGCCTCTTCCAAAACAGTTGCAGATACAGTTGTCTTGATTGGCACACCAAGTTTGCTGTCATGAATGGAGAAAGATAACAATGAAGGTGAGGGAAAAGCAGAGAAGGGGTGGACTGAAAACGAGGAAATATTCTGTCTTCCTACCTAAAAAGTGCAGCAAACATTGTATTGACAGCACCCAAACTTGAAAGATCTAATTCCAACTCTTGGTTATCTGTTTCAACAGCCTACACTCAAACATGAAATATTTCATTACCAATTATCCATGTGAAGAGATTCAAGGCTACTTTTTTGGTATAAAAAGTTTTGAAACAAAGACAGTACAAAGTTGGAATCTTTAAAAGGCAATGAAAAATGTAAATCTGGAAGATGGATGATTCCCTAAACATTTAATGGCTCATAACAATAACAAATCTTATATTACCTCAAAGCCAGCTGAGTCGTACTGACGCCGTTTGTCGGGATCTGACAAGATATTATAAGAAAAGGTAACTTCTTTAAACATATCAGCTGCTTTAGGATCATTAGCATTCTTGTCTGGATGGTATCTGAAATGAAATAGATTTAGCTAATAAATAAATAATTTACCAAACCCCGTTCAGATGAAAAGAAGAAAGGAAGAACGGTCAAGTAGAGTAACTAGGTGCACCTGAAAGAGAATTAATTTATTCTAATAAAATTCCTTCAATCATTATGTTTTACATTAAGCTGTTAAGAGCTGGCATCAGATGGATGAAAAAACATGACGACATGATCAGACGCATTGTTCCTATTTTGTTTTCAGAAGGTTATCTGGACTTATCTAGATGAACAATTAGCAAGAAGGAAAAATAAAAAACCCAAGGTGCTCATTATAAACAAAATCAAATAAACGTACAAAATGGATGTTTTCTAAACCTCTAGTCAATGATTTGTAATCACCTTTCTCTTTTCTTTTTGCAGATTAATATGACCTATGTCATCTAAAAGTGATCTCAGGATCCAAAATATTCTAGCAACAAATAAAACGACCTTCCATGCACCTTCCACACATAATAGAATCATTTAACAATCACTAAGCTATTGAATTTAGATCAACAATAATAGCAACCATTGAGTACTTCAGCCAACGCCCAATAACAATACGGTAGCTACGAATACTAATTCGACCAACTATCCATACTAACATATTCGAACTAAACCCAACATATTCCAACTAAAACTAAAGCAATATCTTCAGCACGCTCAAAAACCAACATTAAAACAAACCCCCATAACCTGCAATAGCATTAACACTACACACTGAATTCAAATTACAGCGTTGCACAGTAAAAGACGATTATGCCCCAGAAATCCCAAACTCTCCCCAAATTATCAACAACGATGGAAAACATCACCGCGAGAACGTAATCCAAACGTACTTGAGAGCCATTTTACGGTACGCGGTTTTTATTTCTTGATCCGTGGAGTTGCGAGAGACGCCGAGAACCTCATAGGGGTCTCGCCGGAGCTGCTTCTCGCTGTCGTGCTTCTCCGAGTTCGACCGATGCCCCGGCATCCTGCCACTAAATGAAACGACCTCGTATTATGCAGTTTGGGCAAAACCCTAAAACTCAGGTTCCCCCCGAGACAGAGAGAAAAAAGTCTCAGGAAGAATAACCGAAATGGAAAGATTGAAGAGAGCGCGTTGTTTTCCCGCGCCGGGGGGTCACGTGGAAAGTGGAAGTTTGAAGGAACATTGGGAAGTTGTGGCGGTGAGATCCAGAAACTACACCATGGCCCCTCCAAGCTGGAGCTGAGCTTGTTGCGAAGAGGAGAGAGAAACAAGAGGACGAAAATTTGGAGGGGAAATTCAGTATTTTATTTTTAATTTTAAATTCCTTCTTTTTTAGTTTCGATGTAATTTTGAAAACGAATGCCGTTGCCGGTAAAGTACACGCGGTGCGTAGTGCGCACGGGGAGGTTGACGTTTGACAGTTCTATTTCAACTGACACCGGGAACAGATGTGGATATTGAATTTTCATTGCATTTTTGCTAAATAAATATACTACATAATTGTCTTTCTATAAGTGACCTCCTTCATCTACCATTGTTTCTATTTTTCTCTTTCGAAAGGAACATATTTTAGTGCAATTAATAATTTGATAGAGTTATGATACTTTAATTATTGGATATGGATTCTTTTTAATTGTTTGATTATCAAAATAATGTTCATGTTGTTTTATTTTATTTCTGGTGATATGTTGGCATTTTGAGAATAATCAGCATGAAGAAGTAAATTAATATCGATATTTTTATAAGTAATAGATTGACCTTTTTTAAATAGTCCTTTATTGGAATTTTTTTTACAAATTTAATTTTGAGATTATTTTTCAAATCGAAAATGGGGAATAAGAATCACATTTGCTTTACTTCTAAATGAATATTGTAAAATAATAATAAGCATTTTTCAAATACGATATTAGTCGAAGAAAAAATGAATAGGTAATTAGTTTAAGTAATAAATATACTTTTTTTTAACTAAAGTTTTGAATTCAAATTTTGTATACAATTTTAAAAACAAAAGAATCAGCCCAATTATTTAGTCATATAAAATTAAATTACGTCATTAGTAGCCATGGCCTATACCCAAATTAAGTCTAAACAGTAAACATATTATCAGTAAACACATAAGTCAACTAAATTCAGATTAAGAAGATATATAGATCAGTTTGACTCAAACTAATGACCTAATTCCAAGACCAACCGTTGAAAATTTTTCATACCGTGATCTACAAAACAGGAAAATCTTAAACAGAAAAACCAATCAATTTGAATTGGAAAAAAATATTGAAAACTTCACTTTATTTCTATAAATATTTGAATAACAACTAACAAATCAATTTCACAACTAATTTGATTTCAATCCAACTTTTACGGTAAGAAAGTTGTTAAACAGTACGTTTTCGTTTTCCTATAAATTGAAACTAGCTAATCAATTTAATAAACATTTTGATTCAACTTTTACAATAAAATTTAAAATATATGAATGTTTCATATTAATAAATCATGAATTATTATATTATTAAATTCATACATACTTGCTAAACAATACATTTATTTGGGATAAAACTGTATGACGCATGATCAGATTTTCGTTAGGTCTCTGTTTCTCTTTTTCTTTTTCTTTTTTAATTTATTATTTAACTTATGACACGTAGTTAGAATATATGAAACTTTTAGGCACCATATAATAATAACAATTCTCTTACGATAACTGTGAATTCTATTTCGAGTATAATGACAGTATCAATATTTAAGATTTAAGATTTTTCTAATTTTTTTAAACTACATGTATCTTGTTGATCCAGTGATTGATATTTAAGATTAATTTTAGCTGTTTGGAGTTCGTGATTTTCTTAAATCAAGCAAAACCGGCCGTTCCCGCGTGAAGCTTTACCAACTATGAACACACTTCAACTCTTCATATTGGATGTGATTTGGTGTCACATTTTAAAGTGTCAAGTGTTCTTTTCAAATTCCTACTTTATCGGCTCTGCATATTTTTGGTGAGCTGGTTGGGATTAGGTTTAACGAAACTATGCTGTTTATGTTAAGGTACATAAATTACAAGCCATATTTTACGAACATTACGACATTTTTTAAGAAAATTAAAAAATATATTTCATTAGTATACAATTAAGTTTCAAGATAATATTCGTTCGCATAAATGAGAAAATACATGTTCGTCTTTCATCATGAAAGTACAAAATTTAAAATATAAAAAGTTTCTTAAGATTTAAGAATTTTTAAAAAGAAATCACAATAAATGTGAAACATTATTTGTAAATGTATTTTGTGAAAAGTAACTTGACAATAAAGCGCTCTCCGTAATCAGTGTCTTGTTTTCGGTTTTTAGGCGAAGGGCACAATGTGAATTTGAGAGCATGCGTGGCCTCGAAATTCAACTGCCAATCTGCCATAAAGGAAGGGTGCGTAGCGCGCACCCAGTGCATGGAAAGATTGCTTCAGTACTGTTTAAAACATTTTTCTCCGCCTTCAAACTTTCATGTTTAAGCCAGCGAGGAAGGGTAAAAGCAGCTGAAGTGTGATGATGGATGATGGATGATGGATGAAAGATGATTAGCAATGGCTATCATCAATGCTATAAAGCTAAGCAATTGAGATCACAATTAGGAGAATGAGACTCGTAATAAATGTTGACATCAACAATATTCACAATTTTTAATCTAAATTATTCAATTTCATTATTTAAATCATTAAAAAAGATAGTAAAATAAGGGGGGGGGGGGGGGAAACACTTAAAAGATGTCCAACTTTAACGATGCAAACAATATTTTTCTGAATTTCTTTAGCCTTTTCAAAGAGAAACTTTTAAGATTTGAGTAATCGACAGATTTGAAGGACCTTGAACTTGGGGTACATTTATCAGACATGGTGGACATCATAAGTAATAAATTATTAGAGTCCCCACATGGTAAGGTAAGCTGAGTAAATATGATTGCCATGGTGCTCAAGAGGACAAACTATTTTTCGCTATGGGCACAAACTAGAAGGGGTTTGGATCCGAATGTAGAAAGGTCACTCTTTAAAGTTTACTCTTGTGGGTTCAAGAAATGACAGCTCAAAAGGTGTACTTGAAAGTGTATGCATTTGTAGGTGTTGTCAAAATTAACTTTAATAAGTATGATATTTCACAAATTGTTAAGGTAGTGTTTTGTTGTTAGCTAAGAGACTGTTGCATGTATCATAAAAAATTAGAGGAATCCATCCAATTACCTCTCATTCTATCGTACTTTAAATTAATATTTAAAATAATATAATTTTGTTTCGTTTTTTTTATTTTTTTTCACATCTCAGTATATTATTAGTTTTCAACGAACAAGAATGAGATATATAATGTGTTTGTTTTCTTGTGAAAATTAAGTTTCACATGTCTCAATCACGTTAAAACTGGAGTTGTGCGACAGCGATTAATTTTTGCATTGTGAAAATGCACTTTCTAACTTACAGAAGGCATAATCAATGAGATTAATTAATAATGTTTCGTGTATTTACACGAACAAGAGTCTATTAGCAATCAAAATTCATAAAAGAGAAAAAAATAGACACATTCATAAACCACTTAAAATAATATTACGCGAACACTTGTCAAATTCTTAAAATTATTGCATAGATAGGTTTTTGAAACTGTTGACCAAACAAATACTCCTAAAAATTGATACCAGTTCTTGTGGGTTGCATTTTAAATATATAACTTTGAAATAATTTCATTTAAGACAAACTAAAACACGTAATTCAACATTAAAAGAAGTATAAATTTAATCCATTCAAGCAACCTGGAGTTTACAAAATTAAATGGTAATAATTAATTGTGGTGAACTTAGCTTTGTTGTCTTGTCCCTTTATCTCTGTCATTCGTTAATCATTATTTTAATATTTTAAGCACTACGACTTGTTTTGGTTACATTTCGGCCCTATGACTAGGTAACCTAACCAATGGAAGTTTTGAACTTATCTAAAGTGACCACATACAGCGATGAAAATGATATTTTAACAAGTATATGAAAAAGAAGATCTCAATCACTGAAATTATCTGACGGAATAAACTTTGTTCTTTTTTGTTCGGATTTGAATCAATATTTATGCTTAAATATAGTTAATTTTGAAATGTTGAAACAAGGACAAAAATTGGCCCATAATTTAGAGGTGGGCTCCATTGGAGTGAGTTGTGATGGAAGCATGGAATCATCATCGCCTTCTTTGTTTGTTGCTCATTATGTGCAGCTCGCTGATTAGTCACCAAAATGGACATCTCAACCTTAATTTCTTAAATCACATTTGATACTAAATATTTAGCTGAAGTTGTATTACATTCGAAAGAGAATGAACTTAATTGAGTAACGTGTAAAAATAATGAGAATCACTTCAGTTTTGCTTACATGTTGATTAACTCATTCAATGCTTCAAAAGAGAAAAACTGAATGAATGAATTTGTCAGTCTGTTAAATCAATTAATCCTAATAATAAATACGAAGTAACCTATGAAATTAAAATCGTGAAGGAAGAACAGGATCAGAAGTGAGAATATGATCATAGTTGATGAGAGGGAAACAATCATTAAACAAATGAGATTTTAGCTTCAATCTTTTCCTGTCCAAAGTGGCAATCAAGTCCCTTATCATTAATAAATTAATAAATACATCACAGACTAACAGTAAGGTGTCGTTTTGCCTTTATTAGTATGACATTTATTTAACAAATCAAATATTGGCGAACATTAATAAATAATAATTGAATCTCGAAACAAAAAGAAAAATCATTGAATCTCACACACTGTTGCAACAAAGAACTAGTACGTAGTTTCACACCAGCTCTGTACATATGGAAGATTGGCTTTTTGGATACTTAATTATACTTCAACTTTTGTCTTCAAAAGAAAGAGTGAAGGAAAGCTATTGTCTGATAATATCAGAGACTACATAGCAATAAAATTTTAAGAAAGCTTCTCATTAAGATTGTCCTTAACAAAATTCCTCATTTTATCCATTCTAATATGATGATGTAGCATGTCTTCTTGAAGGTAACATTTTCACAATTAGAGAAAAAAACTAGGATTTTGAGAGAGACAATAAGAAAGTAAAATAATGAACATATCAAAAGAAGAATGACTTGAAAAGGCCATGAAAAAAATTATTTAACATCGATGAGGTGTGGGTAAGGCATCAGGGGTCAATCTTTGAATTGATACTCGGAGAATGATGTGCCAATCTACTTAAATTTTTCATGATCTACTTTTGTCTTGTCATTCTTCTTTTTGAGATAGAACATAGGGAGAAAAAAAACACTAGCAACAATATTCTCTTAAGATAG